AATATTTACTTTAAATATGGGTGGATTATCTTTATATTTAATAAAAAGATCATAAATTCCATCAATTTCTTTACAATATTGTAAAAGAATAGCAGTAAATTGTTGAATCATTTCATATGCTAAAACATGAGTTGTATCAATTTTTTGAAATCTAATAAGCATATCAAATGCAGTTTCAGATGAACGAAGTTGAGTAAATGAAGTATGTATAAAAATTTTTGCTTCTTGTTCAATAATTGATGAACGATATTTAAATTCTTCAATAAATTCATACCATTGTTGAGAATTTTCACGATTAAATATATCAAAATGACATGAAAGAAAATTATTTTTTAAATTAGATACATGTTCAAGTACACGATCAACCATTTGTTCATCACCTGTTACAATTTTCATTTCTAATCCAAATATATCATAAAATTCATTTAAATTTGATAACATTTGAATTAAATCATCACATATTTGTGACATATAATCTGTTTTATCAAAAAGTATACGATGTTCAAAATTCCATGTTAAAAAACGACGTTTATCATTTTCTAGTTTATTTCGAGTATTTTGATATTCAATTTTCCATTGTAATAATAATTGTTTTGCTTGATAACAAAGATTTTTCGCTTCATTTAATGTATATGATGAAAGTAGAATTTTTATATCAATTGTTTGTCGTACACGGTTAACAATTTCATTAGCAATTTTTTCCATTAATGGAACAAAACGTTCATCTTTATTATAATATTTTGACATTGTCCTAAGTAAAAATGCAAACTTCAGTATCAACGACTATTTGTTTTGGATCACTTGTCCAATAGCATGCTGACTTTGTTGTGATATATACTAGCTCTTACGGTTAGTTAGTGTGTATGAAGAATTCTAAGTCAGGTCGACTGTCTGAGTCTACTGGATGCTTCTAAATCATGACATATATCCAACATATTTGAAGATTCAATAGGAAACACATTCTCATTTGAATTTTTCTCGAAGATCTGTAATTAAATGAGATTGAGAAGAAATATCAAAGTTTGAGAATAGCATTTTCAAGAACTGAACTGCTGAGACCAAGCAGTTCCCTATTTGAAAAGACCTTGTAATGAAACTTTACAAATGTAAAAATGATTTTTCTTTGACTGTTTTCGTAAACTGTTGTCTTTTGACAGTGTTTAGTTTACTACATCTTTTTTGATCGTACATTAAAAATTTTCTTTCAGAGCTCACATCAGATTGACCATAGTAAAATAACCAAGGTGCTAATCTTACAAAGTAGCAAGTTGATTCTTCAGATGTTAAATAACAAACAAAAAATAATATTAAAAAGATAATCACGTCAACAAATAGTAAATCAAATAGTTTATATATTTCTACAACACTACAACAGACGAATTTTCAGAGTTTATCGAAGACAAAAAAAAACAATCTTTTTGTTTGTATAGTCGGATTTCAGGGTCAAAAGAGTTTGACTTCGCAAGACTCTACTTTCAATACTAAAGTCAGAATAAATAGAAAATATTCATTTTGATATTTTCTTTATTCTTTTTTTTTTCTTACCATATTGTTTTTAAACCTTGCATTAAATTAGGTAACATATTGATAATAGTTTGAAATGATTTAGTCATTTGTAAAGTTTTTAAATGTCTTTCAATTGTTAATAAAAATTTATAATTATCTGTTGCTTCTAATAGATAACTTTGAAGTTGTAATTTTATATTATTAAATCCTGATAATGAAGGACTATCAATACCTTTTAAAATATGAATAATTTTCATGACATCATCTAGACAAAAAGAAAAAATTAAAATGAAAAAAAAAAAGAAAAAGAATTGATCAATTAATAAAACCTTTTTTCATTTGTTCTAAAATTGATGTTATTCGAATAGATCGTTCATGCCAAAATTCTAATTCAGCAAGTGGACTTGAATTTAATACTCGTTTATTTAATTCATTATTCATTTCTTCATGTAATATTCTTTCCCAATTATAAACAAGATATTCAAGATTTTCAATATATTCTTCATCTGTTTCATCTCCATTAATTAAGAAATTTTTATTTGGAATAGTTAAATTAAATTCACCTTGCATTTGACGTAAAGTTGATTTAATATGTAAACGAAAACGATTTAAACCTAAATGCAATTGATCACGTTGAGATGGTTCTTCAATTGATGGAGATATTAATCCATCTATAACAAAAAAAAAATATTGCTTAAAAGACCGTTAACGCAATTCATGCAAGATTAAAATGTAAAAAACGATGTAGTCAAAGAAGTAGTTCAGATATTATAACGAGACGTTATTGATATACAGTCTGTGATCGTATGTCAACAGCGTCTGTCATAGTCTGTAGAAGGTTCTAAATTTTATCTCTATATTTGAACGCTCCTTTTAGATCGGGTTTCACAAAATCAAAGTAACTACGGAATGTCCCAGAAATAACTTACTCAAAAAACAAATAGACTATCTTCGCTATATTTCTAACGGATAGGTTAATTTTTTTTCTCCAATGATAGAGGAAAGTTCGAAATTTTTATTCATGAACAAAACACTTGCCGGTGCTCTCAAGATTATTATACTCTAAAGAATTCTGGAACAATTGGACTTTTTTCCAGTATTTCGATCGTAGTGAGTTCATTTACTGATGAAAATAAGAAAGCTTCTTTATCGAAATGATTAGCAGACAAAGCTCTGCAAAACCGCATATGTCAAAAATAAAAACTTTTCAATTTCTACATTTCTTGTGATTGACTACTGATGACAGTCCTCGAAAGAAGTTCAACTTTTAGATTGAAATAGATAGTACTAGAATTTAATTATATCAATCAACTGATGATTTCTCCTTGTTTCTTTTTAGTGGATTATTTCTGCTACAGTCGGTATTTCAAAATTTTACTTTTTAATGATTGTTCATTTATTGATGGTAAAATATGATTATAAATAAAAGATAAAATTTCTACAAGTGACACAAGTGGTGGTTGTTCTTCAGGAATAATTCCATAAATTATATTTTCATTCATAATTAAATTCATTTCATCAAATGTTGATGATTGAATTAAATATTGTTTAATATCTGTTCGAATAAAATAAATAAATGTTTTTTTTATTAAATTATAATAATGATAATATTCACAATAAAGATGTATTTGATGAAATGATTTTAATTCAAAATAATAATTTTTATTATCATATTGATTAATAACTAAAAGACGTTGAATATTTTTTAGATATTCATATGAAGAATCAATTGTATCACCAGATAATAAACGTGCATGATTAATAACATAATCAACTAGAATAGTTGAAAAAAAAAAAAAATTTTTTTTCTTGCTAAATTTTTATTCATATTTACTTGAATACTCGGTTTCTATATTAATTGGTTCATTGACATTTAAAATCAATTGTTGATCGATTTCATCATCAACAAACTACAAAATAATAATTGAATTTATTGATTTATTTATGTATTTCATTTTTAAAATTTTCATACATCATCTAATTCTTCTTCATCAATAGTCTCAATCATTTGCCAAACATCTCGTTTTGAATCTTCACGATGAAATATTAATGCATATGATCTTTCATGTAAATCTGTATTCATAGTAAGAAATTTATCAATTAGATCTTCATTAAAACCATTATTTCGTTCTAACATATCGATAAATATTGATCTATCAATATTTAACATTTGACATGTTCGACGACAAAGCCACTCAAGACGAAAGTCATCTAGCATTTTTCTTTCTTTTGTTTTATTTGATGTCTCCGATTAAACAATATATTTTTTTTTTCAAACTTTAGTTCATTAGTAAAGAGTCGGCGCCAAACATCGCAACACAACATAATTCTTCGACTTGATAATTTACAAAGAAGATAAACATTTTAATCTCGTTCTGCTTACAGCCTAGAATTAATTTAAAATTCCTATTGATAAGGAAATCTTTTTTAGTGTACTAGAAAAAAATCTTTTGATTCTATTTCTTTGTCTATCACTTACAGAACTATTAGCAGGAGTGATATGAACTCGTCAGAATTGCGAGGAGGGGAATTGATTGAAAGATTGTTGCTAAAATTAACCGGTTTTTGGAGTGAGGAGTTGAGACATTTTTTGAGAATCGGTGAGTAAAAAAGCGAGTAAAATGCTAAAACTTTGCTGGAAAAACGCGAAAATTTCTCAAGATTGGGATGCATTACTCCTGACTATTAGAAGTATGAGTGTCTGTGCGTGTAGGTGGGTGGGTATAGCTTGCACATCCACACTAAAAACATTTGTTTTGACGACATTTTTTGTAAATACCGTGTTACCACGAACACATTTAGCGGGTGATTCCAAAATACTATTTCAGTGGTCTCGATGTCGATTCGGTTGATGAGTTTAACTTTACATTACGAAGGGTCTGGGATCTGAGTTTCCTTTTCATTTACATTAAGATGCAATTTCATAACAACTCACAACCACACCTGGGACTTATGGTAAACATCTATAAAAAGATTTTTCCTTAATACAATAGATGAAAAGAAAGAAATTTTATTCAATAAAAATAGGATAGATGTCTGGTGTAACAAGATCAAAACCTCCACCATTGAAAATTGGAATAAGAGTTGTTTTAGGTCCATCTTTGACACGAGTTATTGTTAATGTTTGTCTTTCTTGAAAATTTTTCTCATTAAAAACTAATTCTTCTGGTGTCCATATAAAACAATCTTTACATTCAGTTGGTTTCCATTGAATACGAACAGTATCATTTCCATTAATTCGATGTGGTGGAGTTATAAGCCAAATTTGAACTTGTGCATTTTGCTTTAAAATTATTTTTGATATTTGTGGATAATATAAAAGACCGAGCATAACATCTCGGCAGATGGAAGTCCAATTGCTTGGAATTGAATCAAAATATTTCTCATCTGGTTTTCCCATTGATATTACTTGATAATTGGTTATCGTTTGGACAATTCTCCATCCTTGACGAATAACTTGAGTAAATCGAAGAGGAATTTGAGTATTCTTTTGAAAATAAATTTCTTCACAGGGATATGTTGCTCCACTATCAACTTGACATGTTACATTTGCATACCAATAATCTTCACCTTGAGAAGAACTATCGGAATGTATCATTCCATATTTAAATTTAATATAATTTTCAACGTGAAATGAAGTTCTATTAACCCACCAATGTGATGGAAATGAATTAAATACATTTCCACCATATTTCCAATATGTCCCATACAGACAACCAAGAGGTGGAGAATCTGTTAATAATTGAACATAATATTTTGATTGTGGCGAATCAGGAATTGCATATGGAAAATGTTTCATTACATATGTAGTTTCTCGTCCTGTAGAACCGTAACCTAATGTATTATAAGCTCGTTGATTTATTTCATCTACTGCAATTATTGTTCGACCACTATCAGGAGAAAAAACAATTTGAGGTGGAAAATATGGTTGAGGATCACATTCACCCAAATAATAACATAAAATAAATGATATTAAATATAAATATATTTTTAACATCTAAAATTAATAAAATAAATATTTATGTTTACAAAATTTTCTTCCAATTTACTGGAAAAACATCAGGACATATCAAATACTAATTAGTAGAAATATTCGTAGAGAAGTCACACATTTATTTTTCTATTGATTTAAAATCAATATATATGTAAGTAAAACAAAACTATTGTTATGAGCTTTTTTCTGTTGTTTTCAGGGTGTGGATGTTAATTTACATTTATAGAAAATGTTCTTTTTCACTTCCAATGACAACATTATTCTGGAAAAAAGATCAATAGGCACCAAATTGAAGAATGAACTAACTTATTATTTTTCTTTCATGACTAATTTAAGTCTTACCACATAAAACAATGGTTATTTTCATCATAAATATGTTTCTGATGTTATCTTTTCGTTTAGATTCGAATTGTAAATGACTATACCAAATCTATCTTCACCTAAAAAAAAACAATGTCAGCTGAAGATTACTTCATTTATTTTTCTTGTGATAAATTTAAAAAAAT